GGCTCATTTTCGTCCTTTGGAGTCTTGCAACTTTGGTGGGTTACTTTCTCTTCTTTTTCTCCCGCCCCCCTCATCCTGTGTATCTTCGAATGCTCTAGTCTCTAGATGAGGAGCCAATTTCGTAGCCGCTAAATTTTTCTCCGCAGTCAAAACAAACGGGATCTCTCGTAACCTGTAAAGGGCTCTCGGCGCCGAGAAGCTGAGGGAAAGGACGCATTGGGGCAGCCATTTGAGAGGGGTGGATTTTTTTTCGACCTTTTTCTCAAATATACAAACTTTTTTAATAAAAGATAATAAAAGTTGTAGGCAGCTAAGACTTGGGAATTTTACTACTAGGTCTTGTCAACTGCCATAAGGTTATGACTAATGGGCCAACAAAGCTATCCATCTCTGCTCGTACGAGTTACTTCTTCACAATGATTGTGTTTTCAAGGACACTCTTTTGTTTCAAAGAGAAGACAGAGGTTGATGCACTCGCGACAGGGTCGTTTGGGACCTGCAGTAGACTGCCAAATTCTCTTTCCTCCATCCCCCCCCCTTTTTGCAGCTTCGGCCTTGTTGGGGGAAAGGGAAGTGAAGCTGTCCATGCTCCGGAGGGCCCATTTCTTGATGTGTGTGTCGGCCCTTTTTTTCCTTAGTGTGTCGCCTCTCTTTTCTTTTCTTGTTTCTAATATCTAGAGAATGGGGCATAGGTAACTTCGGTGAGATTCGGCTTTGCCGAGACCACCAGAGTTGAGCCTATCTTATCAATTATCGATTTGCCTTCGGGGGGTCTCTCGGACACACTCATTTTGTCAGGGCCACGCAAAGTGCCAAGCCACACAGCAGCAAAGGAAAATCCTGCGCCTCCTCCCCCTACAGGCTACGCCTCTCTCTCTCTCTCTCCCTGCCTCTACCTCTCCCGTTCTCCCGCTTCCCTGATTCCGTTGAGAACAACACCCCCACGTGGAGCTGGAACACCTCCATCTGACTCGGGGGGGCCGGGGTGGGTAGACGACGGACGATGCACTCCTACTCGTACTTACTCCGTATATGTATAAGTCTACAGATGAGAAGAGGGACTTGGCGAGTAGTAAGAATATACATATGCATCCCGTCCGGCTCTGTCAGCAATCCAACACACCCCAGACCCGGAGACCCCCTTCTCGTTCTGGATCAGTGGATAAGGGAAAAGCGAAGACCTCGATAGAAGGAACGACCGCCCCCCCCCCCCCCCCCCCCCCCC